TTAATGAAGGAGACCACCCTTGCCCGTATGGACGGCCGGTTCGGGCGGCCTCCACTGCCCGTACGGACGACGCCGTGCGGACGGCGCTCCCCTATCTCTGCCTTCTTAATGAAGGAGACACCTTACGTCCAATTGGAGCCCATACCTTATCTTTGCTTTCTTAATGAAGGAGGACCCCGCTCCCTTATCTTTGCCTTCTTAATGAAGGAGACCACCACTGCCTCTACGGACGGCCCCCACTGCCCGTACGGACGGCTCCGTGCGGATGGCGCTGTGCGGACGGCGCTCCCCTATCTTTGCTTTCTTAATGAAGGAGACACCTTACGTCCAATGTGGGCCTCCAGTACGCTTCGTCACCAGAGCACCCCACCAGAGCAGAGCACCACCAGAGCACCCCCGCCGCCAGAGCCGGAGCCGTAAATGCAGATTTTGGGTGGGTATTTTGGGTGATAAATTCTGTTCGTAAAATAGCACTTTTAATGAGGCCCCGGGCCGAAGTCGGGGTCCCCCCCCATTCTGGGCAGGACGAGCTCCCCCACCAGAGCACCGCCACCCCCCACCAGAGCACGCTCCAGTACGCCTCGTCACCAGAGCACCCCACCAGAGCAGAGCACCAGCCGGCCCCCACCAGAGCACCCCCGCCGCCAGAGCCGGAGCCGCCAGAGCACGAGAGCAGAGCTCCAGCCGGCCCCCACCAGAGCACCCCCGCCGCCAGAGCCGGAGCCGTAAATGCAGATTTTGGGTGGGTATTTTGGGTGATAAATTCTGTTCGTAAAATAGCACTTTTAATGAGGCCCGGGGCCGAAGTCGGGGTCCCCCCCCATTCTGGGCAGGACGAGCTCCCCCACCAGAGCACCGCCACCCCCCACCAGAGCACGCTCCAGTACGCTTCGTCACCAGAGCACGCCACCAGAGCAGAGCACCAGCCGGCCCCCACCAGAGCACCCCCGCCGCCAGAGCCGGAGCCGTAAATGCAGATTTTGGGTGGGTATTTTGGGTGATAAATTCTGTTCGTAAAATAGCACTTTTAATGAGGCCCGGGGCCGAAGTCGGGGTCCCCCCCCATTCTGGGCAGGACGAGCTCCCCCACCAAAGCACCGCCACCCCCCACCAGAGCACGCTCCAGTACGCCTCGTCACCAGAGCACCCCACCAGCCGGCCCCAGATTTTGGGTGGGTATTTCTGTTCGTAAAATAGCACTTTTAATGAGGCCCGGGGCCGAAGTCGAGGTCCCCCTCCATTCTGGGCAGGACGAGCTCCCCCACCAGAGCACCGCCACCCCCCACCAGACGGCGCTCCCCTATTTTTGCCTTGTTAATGAAGGAGGACCCCACTGTCCGTTCGGACGGCCGGCTCAGCGGTCCCTTGTCTTTGCCTCCTTAATGAAGGAGACCACCCTTGCCCGTACGGACGGCCCCCACTGCCCGTACGGACGGCACTGGACCCAACTGTCCGTACGGACGGCCGGGTTCGGCAGCCAACTGCCTGTACGGACGGCTCCGCGTGCAAGAGGACCCCCTGCCCGTACGGACGGCCGGTTCGGGCGGCCCCCACTGCCCGTACAGACGGCGCTCCCTTATCTTTGCTTTCTTAATGAAGGAGACCACCACTGCCCGTACGGACGGCCGGTTCGGGCGGCCCCCACTGCCCGTACGGACGGCGGTCCCTTAGCTTTGCTTATTGACGGAGACCACCACTGCCCGTACGGACGGCCGGTTCGGGCGGCCCCCACTGCCCGTACGGACGGCGGTCCCTTATCTTTGCCTTCTTAAGGAAACCACCACTGCCCGTACGGACGGCCGGTGCGGGCGGCCCCCACTGCCCGTACGGACGGCGCCATGCGGACGGCGCTCCCCTATCTTTGCCTTCTTTATGAACGAAATACTTTACGTCCAATTGGACCCATACCTTATCTTTGCCTTCTTAATGAAGGAGGACCCCACTGTCCGTATGGACGGCCGGTTCGGGCGGCCCCCACTGCCCGTACGGACGGCGCTCCCCTATCTTTGCCTTCTTAATGAAGGAGGACCCCACTGTCCGTACGGACGGCCGGTTCGGGCGGCCCCCTGCCTGTACGGACGGCGGTCCCTTATCCTTGCCTTCTTAATGAAGGAGACCACCCTTGCCCGTATGGACGGCCGGTTCGGGCGGCCTCCACTGCCCGTACGGACGGCGCCGTGCGGACGGCGCTCCCCTATCTTTGCCTTCTTAATGAAGGAGACACCTTACGTCCAATTGGAGCCCATACCTTATCTTTGCTTTCTTATAATGAAGGAGGACCCCGCTCCCTTATCTTTGCCTTCTTAATGAAGGAGACCACCACTGCCTCTACGGACGGCCCCCACTGCCCGTACGGACGGCTCCGTGCGGATGGCGCTGTGCGGACGGCGCTCCCCTATCTTTGCTTTCTTAATGAAGGAGACACCTTACGTCCAATGTGGGCCCATAACTTATCTTTGCCTTCTTAATGAAGGAGGACAATGAAGGAGGACCCCACTGTCCGTACGGACGGCTGGTTCGGGCGGCCCCCTGCCCGTACGGACGGCGGTCCCTTATCTCTGCCTTCTTAATGAAGGAGACCACCCTTGCCCGTATGGACGGCCGGTTCGGGCGGCCCCCACTGCCCGTACGGACGGCGCCGTGCGGACGGCGCTCCCCTATCTTTGCCTTCTTAATGAAGGAGACACCTTACGTCCAATTGGGGCCCATACCTTATCTTTGCTTTCTTAATGAAGGAGGACCCCGCTCCCTTATCTTTGCCTTCTTAATGAAGGAGACCAATACTGCCCGTACGGACGGCCCCCACTGCCCGTACGGACGGCTCCGTGCGGATGGCGCTGTGCGGACGGCGCTCCCCTATCTTTGCTTTCTTAATGAAAGAGACACTTGGTCCAATTTGGGCCCATACCTTATCTTTGCCTTCTTAATGAAGGAGGACCCCACTGTCCGTATGGACGGTCGGTTCGGGCGGCCCCCACTGCCCGTACGGACGGTGGTCCCCTATCTTTGCCTTCTTAATGAAGGAGGGGCCCCCTGCCCGTACGGACGGCGGTCCCTTATCTTTGCTTCTTGATGAAGGAGACCACCCTTGCCCGTATGGACGGCCGGTTCGGGCGGCCTCCACTGCCCGTACGGACGGCGCCGTGCGGACGGCGCTCCCCTATCTTTGCCTTCTTAATGAAGGAGACACCTTACGTCCAATTGGGGCCCATACCTTATCTTTGCCTTCTTAATGAAGGAGGACCCCGCTCCCTTATCTTTGCCTTCTTAATGAAGGAGACCACCACTGCCTGTACGGACGGCCCCCACTGCCCGTACGGTTGGCGCCGTGCGGACGGCGCTCCCTTATCTTTGCCTTCTTAATGAAGGAAACACCTTACGTCCTATTGGGGCCCATACCTTATCTTTGCCTTCTTAATGAAGGAGGACCTCATTGCCTGTACGGACGGCCGGTTCGGGTGGCCCCGTACGGACGGCGCTCCCCTATCTTTGCCTTCTTAATGAAGGAGGACCCCACTGTCAGTACGAACGACTGGTTCGGGGGGCCCCCTGCCCGTACGGACGGCGGTCCCTTATCTTTGCCTTCTTAATGAAGGACCCGCCACCCGTATCGGCGCTCCTTATCTTTGCCTTTTTCATGAAGAAGGACTCCGGAGTCCAATCTGGGCCCACTCCGCAAACCACTGCCTGCAACGGTGCTACCTTATCTTTGCCTTCATAATGAAAGAGGACTCGGACGTCCAAGCTAGCCCAAGCGCGTATATGACTAGCCGATCTAGGCCTACCTTGGAGGCCGTTTCCAAGCGTCCATATCCTTTAACTTTGCCTGCTCTATGAAAAGCGACTCCGGAAGTCCTAAAGACCAGAGTAAGCCCAACTTTATGGGGCTTCACGTTCTAGGCTTCGGGATTCAGGTGTTACGCTTTCGGCTTTAGGCCTTAGGCTTTAAGACTTCGGAATCGCTTAGGACAAAGTGGGCCCACTCCGCAAACCACCTTAGGACAAAGTGGGCCCACTCCGCAAACCAGCATGTGTTCGTCTTTTGTGCCGAACCGAACCGGACCACTGGACTCTCCATGGTGAAAGTGCGGTTCGCGGGAAGATCTGCTGAGCCGTATCTCTAAAAGGTTTGGATAGGACGACGTCTGCTGTCTCGTGCGCGCAGCTCTAGGATTGGGGTCGGTTGTGCCGTTTCATGCTTTACCTTTGTTTGGTTTTGTGTGCTAGCTCTGTCTTTTCATCTGTTTGTCCGTGCGGTTATCCCTTCAGTGAAACTGCTTTCTCTTAGTTAGCGTCTGGTCCTCTTAGCAACGTGAAGTCACTGTCACTCTAAACAGCCCATGGCTCCTTGCTCGTCACCCTCCGGCGAGGGTGGAATGACTGCCAGGCACATACTGAACATATACACATTCTAGCATTCTTCCTAGTGCTATTCTTAGTCTTACTTTGTATATATATATATATATATATATATATATATCTGTGTACGTACTCCTATTTCTCCCCAATATTTGGCGAGGCTGGAACGACTCCCAGGCACATACTGAGACATATACAGATCGTCGCATTTTTCTATTCTTCGTTTTAATTTGTGTGTCTAGGTATACTACTCCTGTTGCTCCGCAATATTTTGCTTCCAGCAAGACTTTCTCTCATTTGCACGAACCTTTTGCAACGCCGTCTGTATGCTGTAGGTTTATCTACTTACCTTGGATTCGATCATATTACTTCACATGCACTTCCTGCTTGTAGCAGCCGACGCCTGTACGACTTAGCCCTGTGCTGCCTAGCAATTACTTTTTGCGCCTGCAATCGGTTTGTCCGTCTGCTGCCCGACGCTGCTTCTTCATTGTGCTCAAGTCTTCACGCACCCTGTGCGGGGATATTGTAAGACCCTCAGCTTGCGATGGCGCCTCGCAGATGCAGTGGGTTCCCGCAGCCTGACGGGTCCACGGTCTCCTGCTGCTTTCATCCTGGAGCGCCTGGAGAAGCAGCACAAGGCAAATTTGATGGTCGCTGTGTTTGGTGCAGCCCCGGAGAGCTTGGACGCCGCCTCGCCAGCCCGCAGCTGAAGAAGCTTTTGGTGTACTCACTGCTGCAGTTACAGACCGCAGAAGCTGCGTTTCGTCAAGCTGTAAACAGGATCCCAGAGGAGCATCGGCAGGACATCTTGGCGGCGCTACGGGAACGCAGCGAGGCCTTGGGCCAGGACGCGGTGGCGACGCCAGCCGCCGCGGCTGTCCTGGACGACGTCCCGCCCGATTCGGAGTCAGCTTCAGACCAGTTATCCACGGATGAGGTAGAAGAAGTGCCGCTGCTTTCCGCAGACTACGACATAGACGCTTCGGCCAAGCTTGGCCAAGCTGACCCTGACCCTGAACTTCAGTTTCAGGAAGAAAACAGAGCATGGGATCTGCCGGTACTACCTCACTCAGATAGCGACGACAGCCCCCGGCAGCATGCTGCAGAAGCGCCTCGAGCCAAACGTCGGGGTGGTGTGCTGCGCCGCCCTGCAGCACTCGATGCACTGGAGCAACACATCGGACCCGGCTTGGCATTGGCCGGCGCCCTCGCCTCTCAACCGATGCGACGACCTGCTGCAGCAAAACGCGTGCCGAAAAGCTCCGAACGCTGCAAAGGCTCTCAAGGCCGCGAATGTACTTTTTCCACTTTAGCGCTAGGGCAGGCAGCAACAGTGCAGCCCTTCAGGAAGCAGACCCATTGCTTGTTCTGCAGCGACACGACCTTGGACCATGTACTGGCGCACCAACGTGGAGCACAAGTCACCAAGACTTTACGACAACTTAAGGCTCTAAGCTCCGAGAAGTACGAGGAAGCTTTGTGCAATCTCCGCCAACGTCAGGGTGACAATTTTGCTTCGGACTTTGCCGCACGTGTCGAGCGAGCAGAACGCAAGAGCCAGACGACTTCTTCGCCGGCCGTCGACCAGTGGCGGACAGCCCTCCAGTTTCGCCAGCGCGTCGCCGGTGCGCTGGACCGTCGCGCAGCTGCAGCGCACACTGTGAAAGTGCGAAGAGATCGCGGTCTAGTTCGACGGAAATTTTTCTGCCCACAACACCTCAGCCGGCATTATACTGAAGCAAATGTAGCCGAAGAGCTGGCACTCGCACCGCCTGCTGCAGACGTCGCTTTCAATGACTCTGGTCTTCCGGCACCCGATATCTCTGAGCGAGCAAAAATGGCGGAGCAATGGTGCAAGCTTGGTTCGTGGCGCATATGTCGTCAATGCCACAGTGTGCGCCCGCGTCCTTTCCAACCGGGAGATTTACGGCGCGTCGCCCAGCCCACCGTCCAGACCTGCATTCTGTGCCGGCGCGGTGCGCGCGTGCCGCAGCCAGGTGATGTGCCCGAACCTTTGCGCGAACTCTCTGCAGACGTGGTGATAGCCCTGCGGCCACTGGACGTGGACACTGGCAACTATGAGCGAGCTCCACACGGTTACCGCGTCCATGCATCCATGGTCCGGTTTGCATGGGCCGCCAAAGACGTCGAAACCAAGATCGCGCAGCTGTCGCACGCGCGGGAGCGGAAGCAGGCCAAGCGGGCATTTCGCTATCTGACAGAATCGGAGCAGGGCCGGTCGACTTCGGCTTACGCTGACTTCGTGGAACGCCATCGCCGCTTCTTGACTACCCACGAAGACGCCGCGGAGCAGGTGCGAAAGCGGCCGCTTCGCTTTCTGGAGGAACGAGCCCTGGAGTGCGCGCTGTGGCCGCACCTATACTGGGATACGTCCCTCTGCGAAACAGTTGTTCGCCTTACAGACGTGCGCCGGCAGCGGCCGGTCCGGCCGAGGGCCTGCATGTCCAGCGGCGAGGAAGACGCAGGCTGCGCCACCTCGGACGAAGACTCCGCGTCTTCTGCGTCCGCAGACAGTGCCGGAGAGCTCGCCTCTGCTGCCGGCCGGCACAGTGTACGCCGCAGTTTCCTGAACAAAGTTCTGGGACCCATCGTGGGATACTCCGAGGACTATGAGCTTTTGCATTTCGTGTATGATTTGGTTATGTGGAGCTCTCTGGGCGGAACGAAGAACTCGGCGAGCAGTATCCCTTTGCGCCTGGCCGTCAAGAAGGCGTCGTGGTCGCCGGAATATTGGCGTACTCGGCATCTGGCCTTGCTGGACCTTCAGCGTCAGGTTGGCCTGCCTCACTTATTTCGGACGCGAGCTCCCTATGAACGCTCTTTTCCATACCATATGTGGGTTCTCCACGAGATGGCCCTGGCCGGACGCGGTCGACTGGAGCTCGCAGGGCCGGAGACACTTCACATGGCTCATGTTCTCAAAGAGCTCGACCGCGGGTATTTCAGCGGCATGAACCGGCGCACTGTCGGTCGCCGAGATCGACAGTGGAAAGACCATCTCCTCGCCGCAGCTGACGGTTCGGATGTTAACACCGTGCTTAATTTCGTTTCTCGCTTGGAGTTTCAAGATGGAAAGCGAAAGACCGGCACCCAGCGATACCACGGGCGCGGCGCGGTTCACTCTCACTCCTTGGACTATCTAGAGAACGTCGGTGCGGTGCGACTGCACGAGAAGCTGAGTGCCTCGGTGCCACAACAAGCGGAAGCCGTGATCACGCGGGGCATCGTCCTAGACTCGCAGCTAGACAGAAATAACAGCAAGGTGGACATCCGAGAAGAACCCTCTGCGTGGGACGACGCAGAGCAGAAGGTGCTCTTACACCACACCGAGGAAGACCATGCCCGCCATGTCCGCGCATATTTTCCTGAAGCTTTGCAGGTAAGCAAGTGCCATGAAGACGTCCTGCAGGCAGACGGGCACGGTGCACTCATGCGCTACGTCGCGACGTACCAGCAAAAGTTCAGTGGGAGCTTTGCTGGTGATTGGTTGAACGACGAAGCGTCAGACTATAGCGTGGCGCGACGCATTCTCTTTGACCACCACCCACTCGAACCTGAAATGTGGCTCAGCCTTGCTGGTGCCATGTTTCCTCAATTTTCTTTCGGCGGCGCTTTGGTGGATATCTTCGCGCCCTACCCCGGCATGGAGCACAAGCCGGACTTTGTCGTTCGCTACGAAACTTGCAGCTGGAGAGGGGAGAGCATGACCTTGCTGGACTTCCTGCGGAAAAGCAATTCTGTCGGCGCCATCCTGCAGTGGGTGCGTCGCAAGCACAAGGCGACGGAGCCAGCTGGCGCCGATTCTGTCGAGGAATTCGCACGCAGCTGTCCCGCTCGTGGGGAGAAAGCTGTTGCCGCCGCTTGCGTCTCCCGCCTGCGAGACCGATACTACGGCCAGTGGCTTGCACTGCACTGCCCGTTTGCTCAGTTAGACGACTTCTTCGTGCCCGAAATCCAAGAGAAGGTCCCGGAAAGATATCAGCTTTTCGCCACCGCGTTGCACTGGCGTGCCGATTATTGGACCAACTTGGACCAACTCCGCGCGGACATGCAACTGGAAGCATGCAGCAGCGACCACATCGAGACGGTGTGTAACCTCGTGCGTGCCCAAACTCATCTCGTCGGTCGCTACCTCCAAGGAGATCTCGTCCGAGAAGATGTGCGGGATGCCATCGAGGAGGTGGAAGCGGAAGCGGCAGAAGCTCCGCGACCGGCAGACGGCGACGTGCCGTTGGTGCTCGATGCTTCGCAGCGTCGCCTGCAGCGCTTGATCGATCTCAGCGTGCAGCGATCCTTGGACGCTCGAGCGGCAGAGGACGATGACGCGCTGGACGACATCGCTCTGGACGCGCACAATACTAACCGCATATTGGCGGCTGTCGGGCCGCCGGGCTCAGGTAAGACTAGTGCCGTTCATGCTTGCATTCGGCGGTGGCATGCGCGAGGGGCCCGCATTCTTTTCGCTTTGCCCACGGGACAGCTAGCCGCTCAGATGCGACGCCTGCATCCGGATATCGATGTGGACACATGCCACGGTGCATTCTTGTTCCATAAAGAAATCTCCGAAGCCTTGCCCATCCTCAGCTCTTACGACCTGGTCATTGTGGACGAGTTGTCGATGCTCACCAGCGAGCACTTCGATCGTCTGGACACTATGTGGCGTGCAGCGGATCGCTTGCCCTGCATGGTTTTCCTTGGTGATTTCTGGCAGCTGCCCGGGCCGCAGCAGCCGCCGAGCAAAGTGTCAGACAGCCAGGCATGGAACGGTGTCAAGCAGATAATGTTCAACACTATGCACCGCTGCGAAGATGCGCGCCTGGCCAAGAAGCTTGCAGCTCTGCGAACCGCTGTTCCTAGCAAGCGTCTCTTGAAACAGATTGCCAACCGAGCCCATCGCGCTTGGACCGACGCCGAGCCCACTGCTTACGACGTCCTCGAGGTGTTTCGAAGGACAGACTACGCAACATCCATGGTCACGTGCACCAGGAAGGGCGCGCAGACGCTGAACGATCTTGCGGTGGATGTGCTGTTCAGGCACCGGCACCAGACGCCCCTAGGAGAGCTGCCCTTCGATTGGGAAATGGACCCAGGCAACTACACGCAAGATGGCACTTTGTGCTCTGATGCTCCGCCAAAATCCATGCCCACCAGGGTGTACAAGGACATGCGTGTGTTCCTTACCAAGAACTTGAACAAGAGACAAGACTTTGTGAATGGCATGGGTTGCAAGGTACTCGACTATCACGAGCGTAGTGGTTGTCTAACCGTGCTCACCGACACTGGCAAGCGGCTTGCCGTGAGCGCTGTTCGTGAGCGCGTTGGCACTCACGACGTGGACTACTTCCCGCTCCGCCTGGGGTACGCTTCGACCGTGCAAAAGGTACAAGGGCAAACGCTGAAGCATATTACGCTTTGGCTTGACCGGCCCTGCTGCCGGGCTGCGGGGTATGTGGCGCTGAGTCGGGTGCGACATGACGAGGACTATCTTATCGCTGGCAAAATCCGCCCGCACCATTTCACACCTGCGATGTGAAGCGTGCCAGAGCTGCTTCGCATGACAAGCCGGCTACAGACCACAACCCTCGCTCCCAGATAAAAAAACGCCCTTGCATGGACTGCACGTCCATGTCGGCTATTCTCCTGTCTGTCCCTGCTTACGATGATTCACGTTACGCCTCGTGCAAGCGCACATTCGTCCTTTCGATTCAAAAAACCTCGTCTGCTTCAATGGCAAAATGCTTCGCTACCGTTACGACGGGCTCCGAAGAGACGTTTCACTGCGTGCCACAACCCTCTTTCAACGAAGGCTTGGTGGCTGGAAGACGGCGCTCCGAATCGAATCATGCTATATAACTGCAGGTACCTGCATTCCCCCAAAGGATCCTATGGCATGATCAGCTTCACTCGGCGCGACCTCCGAGCCAACCATATCTTGTTAATGCCTCCTTACCGAAACGGCTCCTGCAACTGCGAGCCATATTTAATTTATTCTAACAAAGCAAAATTAATTGTTGCACGCGAAGTCGCTTCAGGATAGCTACGGTGGCACGCAGCTATCTCGAGTAACTACACTAAGCTCAAGAATTCAACCTTATGTACTGATCACCACGACATTATCACGCAGCTATCGACTAACTACACTAAGCTCAAGAATTCAACCTTATCTACTCATCACCACGACATTATCGCATCCTATGTCTGAACTAGACACGCACGCCCCCACCACGTACTTCGCTGCTGGCTTTGGCAGTCGCTTGTGGGTAACCCCCCTTGATAGGGGGGTTGGGGGGTAGAAACCCTAAACCCTAAAAGAGTCGAGTCTGGGTGGGGCGAGGGTGGGAAAAACTTAGCTACGCTGGAGCGAGCGGCTCGGGGTGCTTTACACCCGAGCGAGCGAACACGATGGACACACCCTAAACCCTAAACCCTAAACCCTAAACCCTAAACCCTAAACCCTAAACCCTAAACCCTAAACCCTAAACCCTAAACCCTAAACCCTAAACCCTAAACCCTAAACCCTAAACCCCTAAACCTCTCTACCTATAGTAATTTAAACCCTAATGACTTCGTGGCTTTTGATCAAAACTCGTGGCTTTTGATCAAAACTCGTGGCTTTTGATCAAAACTCGTGGCTTTTGATCAAAACTCGTGGCTTTTGATCAAAACTCGTGGCTTTTGATCAAAACTCGTGGCTTTTGATCAAAACTCGTGGCTTTTGATCAAAACTCGTGGCTTTTGATCAAAACTCGTGGCTTTTGATCAAAACTCGTGGCTTTTGATCAAAACTCGTGGCTTTTGATCAAAACTCGTGGCTCTTGATCAAAACTCGTGGCTCTTGATCAAAACTCGTGGCTTTTGACGTTTTTCCAGTGTTTAGCAGCCTCGGGTTTAGGGCTCCAGGGTTTAGGGCCTAGGGTTTAGGGACCCAGTGTTTAGGGGCCTCGGGTTTAGAGCCAGGGCCCCCAGTGTTTAGCGGCCTACGGTTTAGGGTCCCAGTGTTTAGGGGCCTCGGGTTTAGGGCTCCCCTCCCGCCCCTTCCCTCCCCTCCCCTCCCCTCCCCTCCCCTCCCCTCCCCTCCCCTCCCTCCCCTCCCCTCCCCCTCCCCTCCCCTCCCATCTCCCCTCCCCCCCCCCCCACTCCCTCCCCTCCCTCCCCTCCCCTCCCTCCCCTCTCCTCCCCTCCCCCTCCCCTCCTCCCTACCCTCCCCTCCCCTCCCTTCCTTCCCCTCCCCTCCCCTTCTCCCCTCCCCTCCCCTCCCTCCTCCCCTCCCTGGCGTTAGGGCCAGGGCCCCCAGTGTTTAGCGGCCTACGGTTTCCATCTGACAAGGCAAAAAGAAGGATGCTAGTTGACCATGCTGGTTTCCATTTTGCAAGGCAAAAACAAGGATGCTAGTTGACCACGCTGGTTTCCATTTTGCAAGGCAAAAAGAAGGATGCTAGTTGGACACTCTGGTTTCCTCCTGCAAAAACAAGGATGCTAGTTGACCACGCTGGTTTCCATCTGACAAGGCAAAAACAAGGATGCTAGTTGACCACGCTGGTTTCCATTTTGCAAGGCAAAAACAAGGATGCTAGTTGACCACGCTGGTTTCCATTTTGCAAGGCAAAAAGAAGGATGCTAGTTGCACACGCTGGTTTCCGTGTGCCAAGGCAAAAAAGGATGCTAGTTGACCATGCTGGTTTCCATCTGACAAGGCTAAAACAAGGATGCTAGTTGACCTGTTTCCATCTGACAAGGCAAAAAGAAGGATGCTAGTTGACCACGCTGGTTTCCATCTGACAAGGCAAAACCAAGGATGCTAGTTGCACACGAAGGTGTGCTTGTTAGTGTGCCACGGCCAAGGTTTTGAGTCGTTCTTGATCAGTTGCTCAATGCGCTGCCTTGAACGGTCATCGCAAAGAAGCTTGATAGCTGCAGTTGCTACTGTAAAGCGATGGCGTGACCGCAGCCTCAGCTGCTGTGGGTAGTGCTTTCTTCTTACACTTTCAACATTTTAACGGTAACTTACGGTCTACTTGCGAATCGACGACGGTTGCAAATATGATAGATTCTTTGAGTCGTGAGTCGTATGTAAGTTAGTATTTAATAATTCAAGCCAAAAGAAATAAAACTATAATTCTAATGTGAGGGGATTCTCTGGGCGGGTGGGGTTTATTCTTGAAGATAGCTTGACTAGAAATAGCTTGACCTTAAAGCTTCAAAGTCAGAGCTGCTGAACCCTAAACCCTAAACCCTAAACTAAAGCTGGTGATGCCTGTCGCGACGTCTAGGAGCCTATGGCATCACCAGCGCACGTGCGCTGAGCACCGGCATCCGTTTCAAGAACGGATGCTTAATGCTTGCAGCTTGAGCGCGAAGAGTTAGCTTCGTGCTCCGTACCCGCATTCGTTCACTTCGGAGGGTGCATTTACGCTTCCAGCGTGAAAACAAATAATAGTATATTGTATTACCCTAAACCCTAGGGTCCGGATCCTAACTGGCTTGTGAAGTCTTGAAGCTGGACTCTACTGTCCGTACGGACGGCGCCGTGTATGCTCCCTGGCAGGTCACCGGCTGGCCCCATCTGCAGGCTGGACCCCACCGGACGGCCGGTTCGGGCGGCCGTGGGCTCACTTGTACGCACCAAGTGCCCGTGCGGACGGCCGGGCAGCCACCTGCCCGTACGGACGGCGCCGCGTGCACCTGCCCGTACGGACGGCCGGTGCGGGCGGCCCTCACTGCCCGCACGCCAAGAGCAGCCACATGAAAAGAAAGGAGGGGACCTCGAGATTAGCGCCTGGCCTTGCTTAAATACACATTTTATGAAAAGAATTTAGTACTCCAGAATCAGCTACAGTTTTCCAGACTTTTGAAGGGCAGCCAACTGCCCGTACGGACGGCGCCGTGTGTACTCCCTGACAGCTCACAGTCTGGCCCCATCTGCAGGCTGGACCCCACTGCCCGTCCGGACGGCCGGTTCGGGCGGCCGACCCAAGCAGCCGTACGGACGGCCAGTTAAGAGCAGCCACATGAACAGAAAGAGGGTGACCTCGAGATTCACACTTGGCGTACATTCAAATGCACATTTTATGAACAGGATTTGTCACTCCAAAATCAGCTACATTTTTACAGATTTCCGAAGGGCGGCCAACTGCCCGTGCGGACGGCGCCGTGTGTACACCCTGACAGCTCACAGGCTGGCCCCATCTGCAAGCTAGACCCTACTATCCGTACGGACTGCTTCGGGCAGCAGTGTGTTCTCCCTCCAAGAACCAACTCCCCGTACGAACCGCCGGTTCGGGCGGCAGGCTCTGTCCGTACGGACGGCCGGTTCGGGCGGGGCGGCAGCGTGCTCAACTCCCCGTAGGGCGGCCGCACTATCTGCAGGCGGACCCCCGCAGGCTGGACCCAAACTGTCCGTATGGACGGCCGGTTCGGGCGGCCGCGCACTCCCTGGACTGCCCGTACGGACGGCGGCGGTGTACTCCCTGACTGCCCGTACGGACGACCGTGTGCACTCCCTGCACGCACAAGGCCGGAACTGCCCGTGCGAACGGCGCCCTGCGCTCCACCAAACATTCAGTACCGCTGTGAACGGCCCCCCGACGAAAGCCTAGAGCAAGACCTTAAACGTTAAGGGAATACGTTGTACGTCGTCCAAACCCCACGTCGTCCAGACCCCATTGTCCTCCCTGACAGCTCGCAGGCTGGACCCGACTGCCCGTACGGACGGCCGGAACTGCCCGTACGGACGGCGCCCTGCGCTCCACCAAACATTCAGTACCGCTGTGAACGGCTCCCCGACGAAAGCTTAGAGCAAGACCTTAAACGTTAAGGGAAAACGTTAAACGTCGTCCAAACCCCATAAGAAAAACCCTAAACCCTAACAGATTCAATGTCTGGGTGGTCTTGGGGTGGGATGTCGCGTCCAGCTCGGCGCGCCGCCCCGCGACCCTCTGGGTCGAGGCGCGCCGCTTACTGTGGGAAACCCTAAACCCTAAACACTAAACCCTAAACCCTTCACGGTTTTAGGGTTTAGGGTTTAGGGTTTAGGGTTTTAGGGGTTTTAGGGTTTTTAGGGTTTAGGGTTTAGGTTTAGGTTTAGGGTTTAGGTTTAGGGTTTAGGTTTAGGGTTTAGGGTTTAGATTTAGGGTTTAGGTTTAGGGTTTAGGTTTAGGGTTTAGGTTTAGGGTTTAGGGTTTAGGGTTTAGGTTTAGGTTTAGGGTTTAGGGTTTAGGTTTAGGGTTT